CTCCATGCACGGGTCTTCTCATTACGTGCTAAACTGTAGTCCCCACACGACGATTGTACGTACGATTGCTACGTGTAGGAGTAAAGTAACCGCGAGACGTGGGTATATGTCGTTCCAAAAGGAGCATTGTGCACGCTTCGGCATTCAGAGGACGTTCTTATCTGCCTATCCGGAGAGCTGTCAGCAAAGTTCCTGAATAATAACGGCGAACAAGACAGAGGAGACCGAGAGAAAGAGAAAACGGAGGAGAGCCACGCTGTTTCTCCTATCAGCCGCGGTTAGGATATGCCTAACTATTCTGTTTCCATGCAGCTGCCGGACGCGACGTTTCGTTATACATCATGCTGTCCAGGATGACTAGATCGTTGGATACGATCAGTGCGAGCAATAAAAGCGTCCTAATATTGTTGCGAACGATACAGTGGCAAGTTAACTGGAAACCTGACGATTTAGAGAAGACCTGGACCGTTGCCCTTGCGAGGGAGGCTGGACGCGACTTTGAGTGGATCGAGGAGGAGACGGTTGTTTGGTTGTGGAGGGATGGTCTGGGTTTTTTGGAGGACTTTTCTTGGGATTTGGGGCTTTTGGGAATTTTGGAATCAAGGATTTGATGTGGGAATTTGGGGAGTTGAGGTTTTGGGAATTTTGAAGTTCAGGGATTTGGGGATTTCAAGATTGGAGGAGTTGGGGTTTTGGAGGTTTGGGGATTTGGGGATTTGGGGATTTGGGGATTTGGGGATTTGGGGATTTGGAGATTTGGGGATTGGAGGAGTTGGGGATTGGAGGAGTTGGGGATTGGAGGAGTTGGGGATTTGAAAATTTGGGGATTTGGAGATTTGGAGATTTGGTCATTTGGGGATTGGAGGATTTGGGGATTTGGAGATTTGTGAATTTGGGGATTTGGGGATTTGAAGATTTGGGGATTGGAGGAGTTGGGGATTTGGAGATTTGGTCATTTGGGGATTGGAGGATTTGGAGATTTGGAGATTTGTGAATTTGGGGATTTGGGAATTTACGGATTTGGGGACTTAGAGATTTGGGAATTTGGAGATTGAAGATTTGGAGAAGTTGGGAATTTGGGTGCTTAGGGGTTTGTGGATATGATGGTTGGAGGGTTTGGAAATCTGGGGATTTGGGGATTTGGAGATTTGGGGATTGAAGCAGTTGTGCATTTTGGGGATTTAGGGATTTGATGATTTAGAGGTTTGGGGATATGACAATTTGGAGAATTGGGAATTTTTAAATTAAGAATTTGGAGATTTGAGGATCTAAGGATTTAGAGATTTGATGATTTGGAGATTTGAGAATTTTTAAATTAAAAAATTTGCAGATGTAACGATTTGGAAAATTAGATACTTTTAGATACTTGTGTTTAAATTTAAAGATCCATAAACTAACAAACCCAAATATAAAAATTTCAAAACATGAAAGAAGCATCTAAAAATTCAATAACAAAGAATCATAAAAATATCAATACTTGAAAAATTTAGCCCCAAAAAATGAAACTACCGCGGGAAATTTGAAAGTTCCTAAACTTCCACATCAAACTCCACACATCATAATCGCAAATTATACAAAAATGAAATAATATAGATTGTACCCGAAAGTTTGATTTTAAAATAGAGTTAGGAATATCAAGCTAGTCTGACGGATAAGGAAATTGGGGTCGAAGGGTATGGAAAGAAGGGAGAGAAACGTAAGAAGTCGGTAGGGTGGCAGTTCGATGTCTTATGAAAATCTAAAAGTCAGCAGCTCTGAGGATCATCCCTCTATCTGATCTTAATTTGTCAGCCAGCATGGGAACAATTTAAACCACACCCTAGTAAATCGTTATGAGGTATGTCGCCTCCAACGAAATTCTATCCCCTTTTTGTCATATTTCAATATTCTATTTTATTGTAATTCAAGGTTAACTGCACATTTTACTTTTCATTAATTCCACTGTCAAAAATTTTTATATTATTTTTGGTAAAATATTTTTTATTTTTGTGATAAGTGGTTGTATGCTGAATTGTTGTGTTAAACTTGTAATTTGTACTGGATGGTCAAATTGAGGGGTTCGCGGGAATTTGGAGATCTAGAAATTTAGGTATTTCAAATTTAGGGTTTGGGGTGGGGAAAATTTGAAAATTAAGGATTTGGAGATTTAGAAATTTAGATATTTCAAATTAGGATTTGGGGTTTAGAAAATTTGCAAATTGAGAATTTGGAAATTAAAAATTGTTGGTATTTCAAATTTGGAGTTTGGGGTGGGGAAAACTCGAAAATTGAGAATTTGGGGATTTAGAAATTTAGGTATTTCAAATTTAGGATTTGAGATTTAGAGAATTTAAAAATTGAGAAATGGAGATTTAGAAATTTAGGTATTTCAAATTTAGAATTTAAGATATAGAAAATTAAGAATGTGGAAATTTAGAAATTTGTATATTTCAAATTTTGGATTCGGGGTTTAGAAAATTTGAAAATTAAAAATTTGCAGACTTAGAAATTTACGTACTTCAAATTTAGGTCCAATTGACCTGCCAATAAATTATGAATCAAGGGGTAAATTTGAAATAAGTAACTAACCCTACCTTACTACATACGTGACATATAAACATACCAAAACAGTACTACCAATTAATAACTCCGAAAGACTTCAAACTTTCTTCAAACCTAAATTCAAAATTTAAAAATACCTGCCAAGGGTTAGTTCGTATAAATCACGTCAGACTTCCGAAGATAAAAGAGAAAATAAATTTGAAAGTCTGAAGATACTTATTTAAGACGTTTCATCTGGTATTAGCGAAAGAGTCCCAATTTTCGGAGGAGCCACCCTAAATCCTTGCCACCCTCTTAGCGATGTCTCGACTTCACTCGACTCGAGAGTCGAATCTCGCAGTAACGATAACGAAAGGGATAACAGTTCGAGTTTGTAGCTGTATACTCTGGGATAAGAAGAGACTGTTGCGGTAAAGTCGAAATTCGATGTTTTGTGAATGAACCGTCGACCTACGTGGATCTTTGCAAGACAATTTTAATTGGACAAATCCGCCTATCCTCATTAAATCCGGACCGACTTTACTACCATCTCTGCAGCATCTATCTCATAGATGACTGCTCTTCGTCTTCGTACGATCTTGTCTACGGTGGAGTGAAAATAAATTTCTGTCTTGCGATCGTATCTGCGTTCGTCTTACAGCGTTTGAATGGAATTATTGGTTGAGAGATGCATGTTCGTATGTAGGGAAAATTACTTAGGGATTTTTTTTATTTGGGGAGGTTACTTTGCAGATTTAGTTCATATTTCGAAATTTAGAATTTGGTGCTTTTGGATGTTGGGGAGTTAAAATTGTTGATGTATTTTTACTTAGTTTTTTGTATATTATTGAATTCTTCAAATTATGGCATTTTTAGTATATTAGCAAACTTTGCAAGAGGTGACATTTTTTGTATATTATCAAATTTTGCAAAATATGATATTTTTTGTATATTATCAAATTTTGTAAAATATATTTTTTATATATTATAAAATTTTGCAAATTATGACATTTTTTTGTATGTTATCAAATTTTGAAAATTATGACATTTTTTATATGTTATAAAATTTTGCAAATTATGATATTTTTTATATACTATTAAATTTTGCAAATTGTGACATTTTTTGTATATTAGCTAATTTTTCAAATTATGGCATTTTTTGTATATTATCAAATTTTGTAAATTATGATATTTTTGGTATATTATCAAATTTTACAAACTTTGATATTTTTTGTATGTCATCAAATTTTACAAAATATGACACCTTAATATTAATATGTGATAGGGTTTTATAATCGTGAGATTTTTTTTATGGTAATATTTTGTATTGAAATGGTTTCATTTGTTCTTCTTGAAAATACGTAGCATGCAAAGTAAAAATATTATGATTTTTTTATTTTAATTTTATTCATTTGTTAAAATATAATTTTTAACAAAATTGCAATTTGTGTTTTAGTGCAATTAAAAGTATTTTAAATCTATTAAAAAAGAACATGTTTTTAATATTAAACAAAATTATTTAATGCTAAAACAGTTTCCTACTTACCATTCAAGAGTTAAAACCACTTTTCTCCCATTTTCAAAATTTATTTATAATTATGAAACTCAACAGAAATTAATTTTTCTTCGTGAAACAGTAAATAATCATAAATTAATTTAAATTAGTTATCCATTAAACTAATTAATAATATATGTCAATGATAAATACTTTATCGGAAGACAGACGTGTCCATCATCTTCAGAAGATAACTATTGTGACGTTTGAGTTAGGGTTGACTCGAAAACAACACGTTCTTATCTTAGGGTGAGATTTCTACTCGACTATGTATTTGCAGACTTGTTGACAATATCACATGCTTCCTTCACCACGTTGATATTGAATATACCAGAGAAATTTCATGTTATCCAATATACTTTGATTTTCATCCTAAATGTCTCAAAAAATTACTACCCTAAAGTCAAATATGACAAACTCTGCAATTTTAAATAATTTCTGGTTTCTTTATTTCTTAAGTTTCTCAAACAGGTAAGAAGCTAAAGAAAATAATAAAAAATTTTCAGATGAGAGTTTCAAGGTTTATTATTAATTAAAAAAATTCTCTCTGTGAGTTATTTTTCAAAATAAATTTTTTTTATTTTTTCGAATGTTGGTTTATAAAGCTCTTCATTCAAAACTAAACTACTAATACTAATAATTACTTCGAAAATTTTTAATAAACTTAATTTAAAGGTTATTTCGTAAGTTTGAGGTTATGTATCTCTCTCCATTACAAGTGAAAAGAATTAAATTGAAATTGGTTGATTCTATTGAATAACGAAAATAAATGACAACAAAATAATTTTGTAAATTAATAATAAATAATATTAATGGTGTAATAGTAATATAATAGTAATAATTTAACAATATTAATATATTTGTCGAAAGGAGAATAAAAAGAAATTGAAGGACAGTAAATATGCGACAAATTATGACGTACAGTTTTTATTCGATAGCATTTTCATATGTACACTCATCGAGAGTCAATAATAATTATATTAATCGTTACGCGTTAATTACAACAAAAGTGCGAGCCGTGAGGGTGGTCGCAAAGTCAACGAGATTAATGAGTAACAGGTTGATTAACGATGTTTCATTCTTCATCTTTCCGTCTTCGTACATAGTCGTTAATTGCCTCCCGAGGCCCCACTGTTCCTATTTTACGTTACATGAGGGAACGAGTTAATCTGCATGATATGGATGAGGCTGAGGTGCTTCGCCCTCGAACAGCGCCATTTTCAAACGTTTGCACTTGGCCCGACGATTCTTGAACCAGAATTGTACATTCTTCGGCTCTAACCGGGGAAACTTCTGTCTATACGGCATCCGGTTCAGTTCCTCCGTGTATTTCAGTATCAACTGCGAATTAAACAAACATTTCTCAAGCATACTTAACAAGCACATAAAAGCTATTACAAAATTCTCTTTAATTGAGGGAAACGCAGATGTCAAATTCAATCAGTTTAATCAATTTCGAAATCAATCAGTTTAGTTTCGAAGCCAATCGGTTTAATCAATTTCAAGACCCATCAGTTTAATCAATTGCAAATTCAGTTTAATCAATTTCGAACGCAATCAGTTTAATCAATTTCAGACTCAAACTTTGAAATTCGAAATCTTAGGATTCAAACTTAACTCTTCCTCAAATTAAAATTAATAAGCTTTCTCTGCTAATTTTGTGGAACTACAGTGCTACTGAAGTGCGCTACTGAAGGTCCTCAATGTGTGAATATAAAAAATTGAATAAAATTAATGTTTCGAATAAAATTATTCAACTTACCGCATGGCTGGGATGAGTATTATGAGTGAACCAAGCTTCCAATCTCGGCACTTCCGTCACGGGGTCGATGAAGGTTCTATTCCTTTTCCTTCTTTCGTCCAGCATACTGGTAGAACAACCAGCTGGTCCACGTGGCGGTAGGTAAGGTGACATGTACATGATACCATGACCGAACATCGGACTCGGTACCAAAGAAAATCCAGGAGGCAAAGGACCTGTCGGCCTTGTTTCTTCGTCCTCGGAACCGGAGGACACTCTGGCGTCTTCCTGCTTCACCGAGGCCGGCGTTGTCGGTGGTGGTTGTTGGTCTTCTGGTCTGGTTGTCAAGGATAATGGTCCTACGGGAGGACTTCCAGGTGGACAAGGGGAAGGCGATGTAGACTGTAACATATATACAGAAGAACAATTATAGAAACAGTCCTGCATAATCATATGTTCTGATGTGATCGTGTATGTGGTTTATATATGAGGTATATACATATGTGGATAATGGATGCTGACATGTGTGAATAATAATATGTGCTAATACGTATGAACAATAATATGTATTGATATGTATGAACAATAATAAATGTTAATTCATATGAGCAATAATATATGTTGATGCGTGTGAAGAATAGTATGTGCTGATATATGTGGACAATAATAGATACCCACATGTGTGAACATTAATATATGTTCATACATATGTACAATAATATACGTTAGTATATATGAACAGTTATAAATTTTAATACAGATGAACAATAATATATGTTGATGTGTGTGAACAGTAATAGATGCTGACATATGTGAACAATAATATATTTTGATACACATATATGATCAATAATGTATGTTGATGTGTGTGAAGAATAACATGTGTTGATATATGTGGACAATAATAAATATCCACATATGTGAACATTAATGTATGCTCCTACATATGAACAATGATATATGTTAATATATGTCAACAACAATAAATGCTAACACATATGAAAAATAATATATGTTCATACATGTATGTGAGCAATGACATATGCTAATACATATGAAGGGTAATATATGCTGACACACATGAAACCTAATATATGCTGATATGAGTAAACCTACTGATATGAGTGAATGATTAATCTTATTACATATGAAGAATAATTTGTCTGAATTTACCTGATTTCTGGAATCGTCCTCCTCATCGGTGCAGTCTTCGCTAACAACACTGGCACCCCTCGGACTGAGCCCAGGAGGGCTGTACCCATTGACACCCCTGTTTTCGGCTCTCTTTTGAGCAGCCCTGGCATTCTTGAACCAGTAGACAACGTTATTTACGTCCAATGGCTTCCTGCCCCGTCGCGACTCTAGGGCATTCAATTCCGAGACGTAGTGTTGAATCTGTTGACGTGACGGGTGTTGATTCTCACCGAACCATCGTTGAAGGCGTGGTAATTCCAGTTCAGGATCGAAACTTGTTCTCATCCTTGTTTTATGCGAGTATTGAAGCAGAGCTGGATGTGGAGGACCGATTGTACCACCAGCTGTGCTGATGGTACCACCGCCTTCCGGTTGAGGGCTCTGCGTGTGATGATGATGGTGGTTCGAGGTAGGTACCATTGGATTCAAGCCTAAACCCAACTGTTGTTGTTGCAACCACGACTCGAAGTTTCTCTTGGTCTCCTCGGACAAATCGTTACCACCTCTACATAGAGATAATAATGTCATCTGTAAACCAAACAACGTTACAAGTTTAAGTACTGTTATTAAGGATCTTTTTTACATTTAAATGCAATGACTATAGGCTCTTTCCAACAGCACATCCCTCTCTTTTTATAAAGATACTATAGATGAATTTTCTTTAAGAAAATCAGATTTTCTTGTGACTATATGAAATGCAAAAATTTATATAATCGTAACATGTTGAATGTTCTTGGTTCTTGGTGATATGACTGTAAGGGCCATATATAGAAACTTATACTAGATGAAGGATTATAGAGGACGTGAAAAACGAATAGATACTTGATCTCATATCTTGATACCTATTGCAAAACCTCGCATCGATCAACATAACGAAAACCATAACCCTCGTGTAACCGCTCTAACGCTCCTAATAATATCGCGTTAATTTACGACGATTATCAAAGGCTTAGCAACCAGTCGCTTACCTACGACACGTCACGAACGTTTACGCAGAATACGTCATAAAAAAAGCGGCGATAATAGTTGAATATCAGATATTGTTTAAAATCTTGATTAATATATCCCGGCATTCAGCGTTGCTCGATGAGCATTACGGAAAAGTCTGAACGTCGACAATACTATGAATTCATTTGAAAATATTTGATCAGCTCTCGCCACGTCGATTGATTTACAGCGGATGATCAGCTGATGCTACTGCGTCATCCGGTAATAATAAATAGGCGTAAATCAGGCCTCGAATTACGGCTGAATGTTGTCAGATAAACCTGCCTGGCCCGTTTCCCATTTTTTCGCCGTCTCTCTCTTTTTTCGACGACGTGTTTACATGTTTATCAACCGATTTGCGAAATCTCGCGCCCTGTCAACTTAGACGAGTCACGGCTGACTACCTGAGTGATTAAGTGCCGGGCTGTAAAATTCGTCGGATGAGAAATTCCAGCGGGTGACAGGCTTGTGGATAATAATTGTTCTGCGTCGTATCTGGCACCACCAAGGTGCCGTGGATACGAGACGGATTACCGGGTTATTAAACTGGCGTCGAGCACCTTGATCCTCGCTGAGATATTCTTATAAATCATTTGTCCAGATAACGCGAGCGTTTTTCAAACTTCGTACTACTTCCTACGAGCCCAAACTTTTCCATAATCTGCCTTCTTATTATCGTTACGATAGCGCGTGTGGAAACGGCGGATGCCGCACGGAAAATGGCGGTATGGGGACTTTAACCTACGGGACATTTAGTCTATTCGATTATTTCTAGCTCTATTAATTTTTCTTGGATTGACTGGTAATTTTATTGAGACGTCTTACAACAGTAAATACATTAAATATTATTTTTATGTTCAACTTTCTCCCCAATGTCCCAATAAAAAATTTTGTTGAAAAATAAAAATAATTCATTGATGCAGATTTTATAAATTCTATGCTTAAATTTAAGGTGAAAATTTAAAAGAAAAAAATGTCCAAAACAAAATGAGTTTCGATCCATCCACTAATTACAAGACTTGAGCGTTATTCACATAAATTCACAATTAAACATCCACTATCCAAATGCATAAAAATCCGTAATAAGGGAATATTTATTAAAAGATCAGTTCGATCGGTTCAGAGAAGGCAATTGAAATACCAGGAGTCTGAAATCATGCAAATTTTCTGGAGAATTCGTAAATCGTCTTGGGTCGAATGATCGGCAGATTAAGTCGCACGAACACACAAGCCGTTCTCCATATACAACCGTTCGCCATTAGCCGACGGGCCGAAACTCGAGTAGGAAACGTCTGTCAGAGAAAATTGGTAATCATAGACCACCGCGAGCGGCATTAAAGTTCGGGGATGGGCGAGTATAGCAGGATCTTCAAAGAGAGTGCACTTAGATAATGCCCGCCTGAACGGGGTGGCGCCCACCCCGTCGCCCTTCTCCTTCTTCCGATATCGAGGGGGCTTTTGATGAAGGATGCGAATTTGGCTGAGTAAAGAGTAATCCTATCACACGCTATGAGATCTTCGTTGCCCTCGTAAGGTCGCGTTTGCCCTTCTAACTCGACGAGGAAAAATGAACCAGGTGATCTGAGCTACTCCGAATTTTGCTGTTTTGGGTTTTAAATTTTTGAGAGTTTCAGTATTTAAGTTTTCGAATCTTCAAGGTTTGAAATTTCAAAATTTCTTTATTCATAAGTTCAAATTTCAAATTTTTAAATCCATGAATTTCCAAATCTCAAAATTCCAAAATTCCAAAACTTCCAAATTCCAAAATTCCCAAATTACAAAATTTCCAAATTCCAAAATTTCCAAATTCCAAAATTTCCAAATTCCAAAATTTCCAAATTCCAAAATTTCCAAATTCCAAAATTTCCAAATTCCAAAATTTCCAAATTCCAAAATTTCCAAATTCCAAAATTTCCAAATTCCAAAGCTTCCAGATTCCAAAGCTTCCAAATTCCAAAGCTTCCAAATTCCAAAGCTTCCAAATTCCATAATTTCCAAATTCCAAAATTTCCAAATTCCAAAATTTCCAAATTCCAAAGCTTCCAAATTCCATAATTTCCAAATTCCAAAATTTCCAAATTCCAAAGCTTCCAAATTCCATAATTTCCAAATTCCAAAATTTCCAAATTCCAAAGCTTCCAAATTCCATAATTTCCAAATTCCAAAATTTCCAAATTCCAAAGCTTCCAAATTCCATAATTTCCAAATTCCAAAATTTCCAAATTCCAAAGCTTCCAAATTCCAAAACTTCCAAATTCCAAAGCTTCCAAATTCCAAAACTTCCAAATTCCAAAGCTTCCAAATTCCAAAACTTCCAAATTCCAAAGCTTCCAAATTCCAAAACTTCCAAATTCCAAAGCTTCCAAATTCCAAAACTTCCAAATTCCAAAGCTTCCAAATTCCAAAACTTCCAAATTCCAAAGCTTCCAAATTCCAAAACTTCCAAATTCCAAAGCTTCCAAATTCCAAAACTTCCAAATTCCAAAGCTTCCAAATTCCAAAACTTCCAAATTCCAAAGCTTCCAAATTCCAAAACTTCCAAATTCCAAAGCTTCCAAATTCCAAAACTTCCAAATTCCAAAGCTTCCAAATTCCAAAACTTCCAAATTCCAAAGCTTCCAAATTCCAAAACTTCCAAATTCCAAAGCTTCCAAATTCCAAAACTTCCAAATTCCAAAGCTTCCAAATTCCAAAACTTCCAAATTCCAAAGCTTCCAAATTCCAAAACTTCCAAATTCCAAAGCTTCCAAATTCCAAAATTTCCAAATTCCAAAGCTTCCAAATTCCAAAATTTCCAATTTCCAAAGCTTCCAAATTCCATAATTTCCAAATTCCAAAGCTTCCAAATTCCAAAGCTTCAAATTCCAAAACTTCTAAATTCCCAACCTTCCAAATTCCAAAATTCTAAAATCCCAGTATCCCAATATCCCAAAATCCCCAAATTTCCAACCCTCCAATCCTTCATATTTCCAAACTTCCTACCTCCCTATTTCCCCACCTCTTCCGCATTTTCAAATTCCTAAAATTCCCAAATTTCCAAATCTCCAATTTCATTTACAGCTACCTACAAAAGCAAATTTTAAGCAATCAAATGAAGTCGTTAATCTCGAAAAGAAGCAAATGACATCGTGGCGACTTGAAACCGAGAAAACATTTGTATAAGGTGAAGATCGTCGAATCAGACCAGGACTCTACCGGAGATTACCTCTGGTTCTTAAAGGAAGAACAAGGACATCAACCGGAGGACTTGTTAATGAGATTAGGTGTCCCAACGACAAACACTTTCTGGTTGGATTTACATTTTACGTACTTATAAGTAGAGTCTTACACCGAGACTCTTTTGCGGTGCTTAATCCTGAATCGTTCTTAAACTCGACACTTTAACGTAGTCCACCTGAATCTTTGTTTCAAATGTATCTCTTTATCTTTGCTATGTAAAATGATATATCAGTGGTAAATTAATATTGATAAGAGATAGTTATTGAAAGATTAGGACTGTTTATAATAATTTCCTTAATTTTTATATTTGCTATTTATTTATGTTTAAGTGCATAATGTGTTACATAGTATATTTGCTATGTAATGAGACGAAGGATCAATTCAAAAAATGAGATGATAAGCAGTAAAAATGATATCATAAACATTTTATGAAATATCACAATTTTCTACCGAAATAATACTGTGTATCTGATTAAAAACACGGTATAAAACACTTAATATTTCATTTAAAAAGATTTAATTAGATATTCAGTTATATCATAAAAATCGATGGGTTTAAGATTAGAGTTGATGTGAAGTGATATGCGCAAACGCGAGTCATATGTGACTGCAACTGCGCAGTCGGTCTGCGCATGCGCAAGTATATGCGCAGTCCATACCGTGAATGCGTCTGCGCAGATGAACAAACTTCACATGCACCGAAAAGTGAAATGTTTTATAAATGAAAGTTCTAATATAATATAATTGTTATACCGTTAATTAGTGATAAGATTAACTTATTTTAACTTGATAACTTATTACTATTGTAATGTACTAACATTAAAAAAAGAAAAAGACTACTTTTTCTTTATAAAAGAAAAGGAAAAAGAGTTACCTCGTCTAGAGGGCAACCAGCTGACACGAGAAGCGCGTGGCTATGCAACAATAGCAGTCTTAACAATTTATTTCTAACTTCGGCCGCTGGACTTGGCGGTGGTGGTCTCGATCTGTACACTTGAATCTTTAAAGTCGCGACCGACGTCAGTTCGGCTAAAATATCACCCACTGTTAAAAGAGGACCGTCCGCGACTTTCTCCATTGGCAGTGGTTTCCAGTTTCTTATAACGATGCTTCCCCTAGCACCGGGTATCAAATCACTCGAATATCCAAGACGTATCAACGCTTCTCCCACCAAATCCTATAAAAGCAAACGAATGATCTTAAAAAAATCAAATCTATGGAATTTTATTTATTTATCAAAATATTATTTTTCATTTTTTAATTAGGGTTTTTAATAATGTAGATATTTATTAGATAGTGTAGATATTTATAGTAAGCAAATTTTTTAGCAAATATTTTATGGAATTTTCAAATTGTATTTTTTAAAAAAATTTGATTACTTGTTTATTTAATTTTGCCATCAAAACGTATGTAACGGTTTGTATGGGAATTTGTAAATATTATATAGTAGACTCTCGATATATCGCCATAAATGGAGTTATAGAATTAAAATATATTTAGAAGTGTAACAAAGAAACTAGTGTAGAGCTCTTAGTTTGGAGACCATAATTTAGTATCATTAGTGTTGTGTCTTTAATGTAGTACTTGTAACATAAGATTGATAGTGTAGTGTCTATAATATAAAGTCAACGACTAATACTGTAATGTTACAATTTATATTTTTGTTGCAATTTATCAAAAATATAACACTAGTACACTAATGTACACTGTAATGACAGTTCATGAAATCGGCAATATAACGAGACTCCACTATACATTTTTACTTTCTTCTCGTAATTTATTAACGATATTATTGCAGATTAAATTTGATTGTTAAATAAAGATTTTAATTGAAAATGTATGTATACTTACTTGAAAAGGCATGGCTACGGGAATGATAACGTAGGAGTCCGTCTCTACTTGAGGCCTCCGCCAATTCTCACGGGAATTGCTTACATGACTTTCTACGATATTGTGAATCGTCTCGACGACACAGTGAACTGGGAGGTTCTTTCCTGAAATAAAAATAAATAATTTTCCTGTTAATTCTATAAACCATAAATAATATTATAAATAATTATAGTACCATAATTATTATAAATAATTATAAAATATTTATTAATTTAATTTCAATAAAAATTCCAATTCAGATTAACATATACCACTTGACCACATCGTAATGCAAAAAATGTTTTTGCATATAATTTATTTATCCTAAATTTTAAAAATAATTTCTTTAAAAATGAACATACAGTGCATTTTATTTGAAGAACGAGTAGTTATTATCGTTAGAAAAATGTGAACGTTGTTCGCCTCTTACTCAGTTTCGTGGCAAGGTAATGGCTGAAAACGGAGAACAAAGCTACTCGAACAATCAAGCTAGTTCCGGCTTTATAGATTCGACTGACAATAGGCGCGCACGCTTTCACATTTCAGGATTCGAATTCGAGGGTCCAGATGATTCGTGAAGCTGAAGATCGCCAAGAGAAGTCTAACTCCCGTGCTAAGCATATGCAGATCCACTCGTCTATCCCGAGACAATAAGAGCTGGGCGATGGCACAATAGCTGCGATCCTTGTGTAACCCTGACTTAAGTCCCAGAGTCTATCCCACTTCAGGTCATAATCCCAGACTTCTGCGGAACCGAGGAAATGGAGAACGGTAGGAAACAGGGAAAAGAAGAAGATGGAGGGAAAAGTTGCCTCCGATGAGATCGCGTTCGAAGAACAACGAAATATTTATTAGCCAAAGTTGAGGGAGGAAACGCGCGATTTTTTAAACAACGAGACATTAATATCTCTTAAATATTATTATTGTTTCATCAAATCTATTAACATCAAAATATTCAAATTACCAAATCTTAAAGTACCCAATCATTGCACCCAAATACCCAATTCGCAAGTACCTAAATTTTCCTACTTGTACATTTTCACATTCTCCTTCTATATTCTTAAATCCATAAATCCTCCGTCTATGAAATTTCCAAATTTCCAAAACAAAAACTGACATAGCCCATCATTTTCGTAACATTCCCTAAAAGTAATATGCATGTTGTCTTTGATAGATACATTAATCGACTTAGGTTATTCAATTATAAACTGATAGAGGACGTTATCGGTGATGTAAGGTGCTAAGTCTCCCTGTGAGATGACCAACAAAGGATTTACCGTCGGTAGCATGATATTAGGTATTAATGCCCTAAACTTCCATCTAATACGCTGGACGCCATAGGGTCTGCCCCCAGATTGCATAAGACAGGTCGTACCTAGGAAGACTGGAGGCTGACCAACGGCCACCTTAATCCAGGGACGTACAGTTTTCATTAAGGTGCCTGCTCCTAGCCTCGTCTCTGTACGGGGATCAGCTGGTTTAAGGTAGCCTTCCACTCCGCAGATTTCGCCACGAAATACCGTATTATGTGGTATGTTTATTAGCTACGTAACCTTCCGGCTTAAACATATTCGTTTCTATGTAGTTCTTTGATCTTTGCTTTACTGCTGACGTTTACACACGGAACCCAAAATTGAGGATTTTAGAGTCAGATAAAAGGTTCATTTCGTAAATGTAATTTTTGAGGTGATAGTAAATATGATAGGGGGAGAGAACGGTATGTGGGGTTATTTTGTGGGTGGTGGGGATAAGGGAAGGTAAGGGTGGGAATTTAGGGATTTGGGAATTTGGGGATTTGAGGATTTGGGGATTTGGGGATTTGGGGATTTGGAGATTTGGGAATTTAGAGATTTTGGGATTCGGTAACTTGGGAATTTGGGGATTTTGGGATTTTGGCATGTGTGGATTTGGGGATATGGGAATTTGGGGATTTTGGGATTCGGTAGCTTGGGAATTTGGGAATTTTGGGATTTTGGCATGTGTGGATTTCGAGATATGGGAATTTGGGGATTTTGGGATTCAGTAACTTGGGAATTTTGGGATTTTGGGATTTTGGCATGTGTAGATTTCGAGATATGGGATTTTGGGGATTTTGGGATTCGATAACTTGGGAATTTGGGGATTTTGGGATTTTGGCATGTGTGGATTTCGAATATGGGAATTTGGGGATTTTGGGATTCGGTAACTTGGGAATTTGGGGATTTTGGGATTTTGGCACGTGTGGATTTCGAGATATGGGAATTTAGGGATTTTGGGATTCGGTAACTTGGGAATTTGGGGATTTTGGGATTTTGGCATGTGTGGATTTGGGGATATGGGAATTTGGGGATTTTGGGATTCGGTAACTTGGGAATTTGGGGATTTTGGGATTTTGGCATGTGTGGACTTGGGAATTTGGGAATTAGGAGATTTTGAGACTCGGTACCTTGACAATTTGGGGAATTTGGAACTCCACAACTTGTAAATATGAGGATTTTGAGATTTGTGAACTTAGGACCTCAAGACCTTGTAAATTTGTAAATTTTAGTGTTACTGATCCTCAATAATGCATAATAATATAATACTACATTATCCAATAAAGCATTAACTCTCAAGCACTCTAAATAAACCCCAATCTCCCTCATAATAATAATTACCTATAATTTTATATCACAGCAATCTATTATTATAATAAAAAACGAATGAGAAGATTAACCAATACACTAAAACTAAAAAAGCGCAATATCAAAAAAGCATCCAAAAGCTTCATGAGCGAAAGAAATCTATGAAGCGAAACTGTTTCATTTCTTCAAGGGTTGTCTTCCGAATGAATCTTATCTCATAGCGAGAACTGTCAAAGACGAACCGTTCTGACGCTTCCGTCGTGCTTCCTTCACAGCGTAAAACGGGGAGATAACCGGAACAGCGATAGGGGCTGCACCAGAAATGAGAAATGTCTTTGCGGTTGCAGAGATTAAAGATTTTCCTCCTGATTAGTTGACATTTTTTCTTTTCTTTCTTTTGTATATTGCGAACAAAACGAGATAATGTACTTAGAAATAACCTGGCAGTTTAACACATTTATTTACTATATAACATTCATAACCTATTTGTGATAGTGTAACTCATATTATGATATAATGATTATTGTAGGACTACTGAATTATTTATAAGATAATTGAATTATTGTAGGATTCGAATATTCATTTGTAATTTTATATTTTTTTAATTTTGTAATTTTTTTGGTGTATGGATATTATAGTTGCATATCATGTTATGTGAAATTAAATTATAAAATGAAATATCTTACAAATACGAATTTTAATGTGAATCAATTATGATATGCTTTTATAATACTATGGAATTCATATGTTAAATCTATTATAATTATATTAATCTTATAACGTGTAGTATTAATTTATAATATAATTTAGTTATTTTACATTGCATTATAATTTATACCACATTCATAATTAATAACATATAAATTATAATATATGCTATAACTATATGCTGATTGCTATAACATATTATATACATAAATGCTATAATATATGTAATAACATATGAAATGTTGTAACATATACATTATAACATATTAGTTACAACAAGTTACAACATAAATTATGTACATTATAATTTATATGTTATTTTACATTAAAACACTATTTAATAATCATGACATGTTCCCAAACTCCCAAAATCCCCAAATTCCAGAATCCCCAACTTTCCAAACCACATATGTACACACTGAAATCCCTAAACCCCCAAAATCTCCAAATCCAAATCCCTAAACCCCCAAAATCCAAATCTTCAAAATCCCCCAAATTCCCCAATCTCACTCACAGAACCAAAAAAAAAATGAAATAGAATCGAATATAGAAGTAAAAAGGTTTAACGAAGTCGTCAGTCGATAAATTAACAGGCCAGTCTCTGCACCCATCGCTAAGTTGGCGGTGCAGATACAAGATAAAAAGTTGGGACATATTTTTCGACACCCCGGTGATCACCCGGTCGTGGTGTTGCGGTGATAATGGGTTTTTTTAGGTGAGCACAGAGCTGCCAAGGGAATGAGACGAAAAATCTTTAGCGAATATATATTCTTTCTGCGTCTTCGAACCCCTGTTTTCTTTTAGGGGGATGACTATCCGCCGTATCAGATCGACGGCGAATGTTTCTAAATCACTCACGGGAAAAATTCACTATCGTTTAGATAACTGTGTATTTGAGAATGAATATTCATTTATGCTCGATGGAGAAGTAATTCGATTCGATTGAATTTTGGCTTTTGAATGGAAGCGTTTTTTGATGTTTTGTTGGGGTGTTTGGGGAGTTGGGGATTTGAAGAGTTCGATATTTGGGAATTTGGGGATTTGGGGATTTGGGGATTTGGGGATTCGGAGATTTAGGAATTTGGGGATTTGGGGATTTGGGGATTTGGAGATTTAGGAATTTGGGAATTTGGGAATTTGGGAATTTGGGAATTTGGGAATTTGGGACTTTAGCTAATTGGAAATTTTTAGGGTTGAGAAAGTCGACAGTTATGAATTTGGATGTTTTGGAATTTTGGGGATATAGGAATTTGGGGAAATGAGAATTTGGGGACGTGGAGATTTGGGGATATGAGAATTTAGGGACGTGGAAATTTGGGGAAATGACAATTTGGAGACGTCGAAATTTTTGGAAATGAGAATTTGGGAACGTGGAAATTTGGAAAAATGAGAATTTGGGGACGTGGAAATTTGGAAAAATGAGAATTTGGGGAAATGAGAATTTGGAGACCTGGAAATTTGGGAGCGTGGAAATTCGGGGACAAAATTTAAAAATTTCAAAATTCATTAACTTGAAAATTTTTAATCCTAAAAATTTCCTTAACAATTCCAAAATTTAATAATCTAATAATTTGATAATTGTTACATTTGATAATATTATAATACACCTTCTAAAAGTTTAAGAATTAAAAAATTTGGTAATAAAGAAAAAAAAATGAGTAACGTAGAAAGTTGAACGAGAATGACATAGTTGATCAGGATAAAGGAAAGTGTTAGTACAGGACACGGAAGATCGAAGGGAAACGGCTAAAGGAAAAGAGAGAGAAAGAAAGAGGACGGTTGTAGTAGATAAAGAGTTCGAAAGAGTTGGCCGC